TAACTGGACTACGTCAATAGTTGCTTTATTAAATATCTTTACAAACTGAATTTTTGTCTAAGTGTCTTATTCCTTTCCCAAATGTCAAAGTAGTGAACTGATATGACACGAGGAAACACTAACATGCCATAAACACATGAACTGATTTTCCCAGGTATTGCTAGAATAAAAATCTGAATGTTTTTGTTAAAACACATTCAAAGCAACTTAAACCAAATGAATAAACAATATTCAAATTTATGGCAAGCGTACTCCACAAAACAGAGTGCAAATCAAGTAAGTAAAATCTAGTAAGCAAAACAATTCTAGTAACTACATTGTATTTTAGCTGCGTGAGGTGGCAATGCTACTTGAACTAACCTGAATATCATGTTAAAACGCCGTTCCTTTTTTCTGCAGATTAAAAACAATCACTGTGTGTTCTTTAGAAATAGTTCTAGTTCATATAACCTTGTTCATCAAAGTCAAGTTTTAACTTAAAAAGCCACATTTCATAAGACTTAAGTGTAATGAATCATCAATATTAAACAGCAAACCTTTTCCTTTTTAGGGGGAAAAGAACAGCCTTTCTGAGAAACCTAGCAACAAGCCAAACACAAGATTTCAGAAGTGCAGTTCACATAGGGTTTGCTGTATCACCAGGTACTTTCACAGAGGTTCTGGGGACTCTGAAAACAGTCCCTCATTTCATGAACAACAGTGGCAGAAGAGGCCTCAGAAAACAGCAAAGAATGTTACCAGTGCAACCATGAAAGGGAGCTAAGGGATTCTCAGCATCCTTTTGAACAGCCACTGAAAATGTCACATGACAGAAATGGTCAGTTAGATAGCACCAGTAAGTGGAACCAAACAGGTAGAACTGAGTCCAGCACCATTACAGTTACATCCTACGTTTCAAATTTACAAGCTCAAAGCTTTTTTTTTTTTTTTTTTATGTTTGAATTCAACAACTAACTGCAGGCACAGCAGAAACAGAAATAACCTATTGTCTACTCTATTTCTGTTCAATTAGGGAAAAGGGTGCTTTCCTGAGTTTCCTGGGATTTGATAAAAAGCAGGAGAGGAAAAAAGCATATAACATAAAAAAAATAATTATAAAGGAAAAATGGGGAAAAGATTTGTAAAGGAGGATTAAAATCCATTTGGCTTGCATTTTTATTAAAATCACACTGCACAGCCCGAGGAGATTAGATTAATTAACGTGGATTGCCTTTCACAGCTCCCATCTCCATGCGGAAGGACAGAAAATCCTCACTCTTCTGTCTATAAAGTGCTTCTCTTCACCTTTTTCAAATTTTCAAACTCAAAACTTTTTTTTTTTTTTTTAAACAAATAGTAAAACTGCAGCCTCAATTTTCTACGGTAACCTATGACAGACTAATGAGACCCAAAAAACATGTGCTTACTTTGTTTCTATTTCATTTGCATGTTAAAATCTGTCCATAAGTGTTTAAACATAGAAATATGATCTTTAAAAGAAACAAACAAATAAAAACCCAAACACCACACAACTCAGACCTGCTTTGGTTTTGATCTGTTGACACCAGTACAGTTTGCTTGGAGGATGCAATAAAATACGGAGGTGCTTCAGTTTAGCTAACTCTGCAGCTTCCTCCCCACACATGGTCTGCCAGCTCTACCTAAATCCTAAACAAAGGACTTTACCTTGAGAATAGCTTGATTTGAAACATATTTTAATGCCTTACTTCTGAAACCATCAACAGTGCTTCAGCAAAATATGTACACTTAAATGAAAGCACTGAAGAAGACTCACTGAATTATTTCTATGCTCAAAATAAGATGCAAAGCTAGTGCCTGACTGACCTAAGGGTACGGTTAATGACAACTATAATTATGATCTTATCAATGTATAACTTCATAAAAGGTTCACAGCTTATTTAAAGGACATCAAATTAAAACTTCCACTTGTAAAATACCTCTGTCAGAGCTAAAAGTGACCAAGAGCAGGGATTTCTTTTTCGTTATTTGCCTAAAACATTCTCTCCTCTTTGTTTTATAACAGTTATTTTGTGTCTGAGAACCAAAGAAAAAGTTGGGGAAAAAAAAAATTAGGATAACTTGAGAGTTTTCATTAGTTGCTTAAGGAAATGAGTAACAATTTTCTTTCAGACTAATATTTCTGAATTTAGAGTTGGCAAACATTTACAGCACTGAAAGGTGAGAGATTTTAGCAAGTACATTTTGAAGCGATCCGTGAAAACAGAGAGTAGTTAACCAGAACCTTGCAGAATTTTCTCATCACTAGCTACATAAGAAAGCCAACTGTAAGTTACTAAAAAAAAATAAAATACTGTTTTTCACTGTATCTTTGCAACTTCAAAACAACACTTACTTTGTATGCATTTAACTACTGAGGGAGACCCGAACTTTCTAGTCAGCACAGACAGCATCCTCACAGGCCTTCAAACTTGGTTCCTGTCCTTCTAGTCTCAGCAATGATAAGCACAATAACGTGAATTCCTAACTGCAGTTATTTCTGGAGTCTCCACGTATATGTGAGTCAGTGGCACGGGAAAATTTTGGAAAAAGGCTATGAAAAATAGGAATATTGTTTTCCACGAAAAGTCAAAAATACATTATTTTAATGCATATATATTTTTATATGCATATACATTATTTTTTTTTTAAAAAACACACATCACAAAGTGATACAAAGCCATTCTAAGTTTTACAACCTTAACTCTATTCAAAGTGTATTAATGACTTGCATGAGAAAATAATTCCATTTTTTGATGACTGATTGACATTTCCTTCATTAAAAAAAAAAAAGGCAAAGGGTGGAAAGAAAAAGGCTTTTTCCCTTCAATATTTCAGATTATTTAACAGATCTTGCACATATTTCAGCACCGAGTTTCCTTGAAAATCTCCACACACTGTTGCAGATACCGACAATAATATTTCAGCATAACTGTCAGCTAAACTTTTAAGCCAGGGAAGTTTACAGAACAGAGGATCTGCCTCTGGCAAGTTATAGGCTGCTTTTTCCTCTTTCGTTTTCTCAAACTGAAATAATTTCTGTAGCTTACAAAACACTGCAGACAGGATGACGTCTCAGAATGACATCTTGGTTAATGCTTTCCTAGAATGGGCAGCCACATTCTCTTCTGAAAGAATTCAAGTGCTGTGACTGAAAAACTATTTCAAAAGTTGATAACTTCACAGTACATAGCGCAGGGGCACTGGATGTCAGTAAAAACAAAGTTTTCAACCCTGTTCTGTGAGCTTGACAGTGGTGGTGTAGCACCTTACAGCCTGTAAGGTATAATGAGATGGCACAGAATTCATCCACTTAGTACTAATTTTCTCTGTGAACAGAATGACAAGAGGACTTCTAAAGCACAAAACACGTCAAATACGATCAGCACTTTAAAACCATTTTTAAGGAAATAATCTCTATTTCCTTTAAAATGTGACTCTTTAACAAAGATTTTGAGGATTTTAAAACAGGAGGTTGAAATGTAGCAGATGATCCCTTGCCTGCAAAGCCTTATTCTGCAAATGCTTACAGGCACTCATATTTACTTATTTGAAAGGAGTTACACAGCAGTACACTGCATTACGATAATGGCCAAGTAACACGTAGCTCATCTGTACTCCAGTTCAGAATTATTGTATCTGAACATGACATGGAGCACTAAGTCAACAGTGCTTCTTGATCAAAGTTACTATCAAAGCAAAAAGCGTCAATAAATAAAAATAAATAATTGCGATGAAGAAGTTGAATATTCTTGTTTTTTCAAAGGTCAAATGTAACAGAATACTCAGCCTAAAAACACTCCTCGCCGTGGCGCGAACTTTTCGGTTTCATCATTTACTACCAAGCCGTCTTTAAAAACCTCACTATTTACAAACTTTGCAAGAAGCCTTTCTCTGTACCGTGACACTTTCTCTATAGGCTGACGCTCGGCAAGCCCCACCCAAAACAAGGACACAGACCGGTCTCGAACCCGCGTCCCCCCGCTGACCGCCGGGGCCAGCCCGGCCACCGCACCCGGGCAGAGACAACCCCCCCCCCCCCCCCCCCCCCCCCCC